ACATACATACATACATATATATATACACACACACACACACACACACACACACACACACACACACATACATACATACATATCCATACATACACACCTCTCTCCTATTACTGATGTCTTGCAAGTGGTGGTATTTGGAGTTTTGCTACTTCTATCTTAAATGTATAATTGATTATTCAAAACTAACAATGCATAATAGATCTATTTTCTAGGTCCATGTTAGTAACCCTAATATGTCTAATGCTAATGATATTAATCTGTAAATTCCACAAGTCAGTTGTGGACAAAGTAGTGCTTTTCTTCTTTCAATTAGCTTCATTGGGATATCACTTCTTGTAATGTTTTCAGAGAGGCATTAAAAACCCCTTGCCTGTTTGCTTTGTAATATACATACTTTTTGTGCCTTGATCATATTTTATTTATTTCATTTCCCCCCACCTGTATTATTTTGTATAACTAATTTAAGGCTGAGAAACAAGTTGAATATAGCTCAGCTTTCTTTCTCAGATGTTAATGCAATATAATCTTTCTTGTTGTAATTACCAAAGCTCTGCGTTATGAGGTATAACCACCTGGATGTAAAATTGTTTTGAATAGGCTGAATGGAGAGAAGAAGTAAAGAAGCACTTTGAAAAGATTAAAAGTGAAGGAACTTGTATACACCGGTTAGATGAAGAACTTATTCGTCGTAGAAGAGAAGAACTCAGGTCTGTATTTATTTAAGAGGTTAAAGGAGATTAGATTAAGAATCCATTTACTTTAGTATACCTTTCCCAGATGTGCCAGCCATTCAAATACATAACTTCGATGCATTTAATTATCATGACAACTGTCTGTTAATAAATATACCTCCCTAAATATATATACCTTTATATATACCTTTTCAATTCAGTCCCTACCAGATGTGTTGAGATTATACTTCCTTAATTTCTGGGCGCTGTAGTCCCAATGACTGCCAGATTAGGGAAGGTTAGTTTAATCTGTCTTTGTCAATACTGAGTTTTTATCGGTTTTGAATCACAGGCTAATTTTTTTTACTAGAGGGATCTGAATTCTTGTGTTTTGACAAAGAGACCAAGTGCTATAATCTATTTTTAAATAAACCATGTTTATTCAAATGTTTTCATAACTTTTGCCTGTTTTAAAAGTTACACTTAACATGCTTGAGAATAATGCTGCCTATGTATATGCTGTTGATTATGGGATTGCACAGCTGAGACTGTCAGCTCTTTTTTCTTAGGCATGCCTTGGACATTCGTGAACATTATGAAAGAAAACTTGAAAGAGCCAATAATCTGTACATGGAACTCAGTGCCATCATGTTACAGTTGGAAGTTCGTGAAAAAGAGCTCCTCAAGTACGTATATCCACCTATGTTTTGTTTTTATAAGCATTCTGTTTGTTACTGACTCCAAAACTGGAGGAATCGTTATTCTTCTTGTTAAGCACTTTATTGTCCTAATCAAAGTTGTGAATAAGAAGCGGGTATTTGTTTGCAGAAAATGATAGATCTGTTGGGTTATTGGATATGTGGAATTTCTGACAATTTTGCTTGATGCCTTATAGAATAATTATGTTTTTCCAACTGCCAAATGTATATTTTAACATACTTTGCTTACAGCAGTTTATAAATCTTTGAGTAACTTTTGATTAAGAGACAATTAAGACTATTTTTTAAAATGTTACATATAGACGGGAACACGCTGTGGAAAAAAAGTATCCTGGGACTTATAAGCGTCATCCTGTCAGACCAATAATCCATGCTAATGCAATGGAAAAATTAATGAAGAGAAGAGGACTCTCCCACAAATCTGGGGGGCAGACAAAACGGTGAGGCAAATAACTATAGTATATTCAAGGGAAAGGGTCACTTTTCATAAATGATTTCCTGAATTCTTTTGAATACCAATTCTGATCACTGAAGTGCTGGTGTAAGTGCAATAAATTAGATAGTAATATATAGATATAAATGTAGTTTGCTACCTAATTGCTTTAAAAAGAACTTAATAGTCACAAATGGATATGTTCAAATAACTGGATAAAATGATTAAGGTGTCTTGACGCTTGGATAATAAGATATGTTATAAATTGAGAAAATAAACAAACTTTATTTATTTAATTAAAACATTTACATGGATGCTCAGCACAAGCCACATGACTCTGGATGGTATATAAAACCATTAAATAAAAATACAAAAGAAAAAAGAAAAGAAAAATAACATGCACCACTAAAGCAAACTAAAATAATTAAATGGCAATCAGAGCTAAAATACACTGTATCTCATCAGTTCGGATTTCTGCTTATCCTAAACCAACTGCTTGGGAAAAGAGCCAGGTCTTAATTGCTTTTCTAAAGGCTGCATGGTTGGAGCCAACCAACTCAGTGTTGGGTGGACATTATTCCAAAAAACAAAAATATATCTTTGGTTGCATCCCAAATAGTGCTATAACTCCATTCCTAGTACTCATGTTGTCCACTTTCCTACATGATATCCATAATTTTATTTTTAATTGAATATGTGCAACTTAGTTTTCTTTATTCTAAACATTTAAATAGACTCACTGGCAATAATAATAAAGCCACAGGCCTCTTTAGCCAATCAAAATTGCATTAAAATGATGACACCCATGGGGCAATGTCATGATGCAGACTCCATCCTCTCTGAAGCAAGTTGTAACTAGTGGTTTTTGCAATATGATGCAAATTTCAACACTTTCCCGCATAGATCATTAGGAAGAAAACTGAATATATTACTGGTAGTCTTCACTTGACAACTGCAATTAGGATTTTTTTTTCACTTTAGAATTGCATCAGTTGCTAACAAGAATTACCAGTGTAACTCTGTGTAATTTATGTAACTCTGTTACCAAGTGATGCAATTATAAAGTGAAAAAAAAATCACATGACTCTATCTGACTTATGGCATCAATTCTGATTGCATTCATTAAGCAAATCACTGTGAATTGTTAAGCATGATAATGCTTAGTGGTGACCCAGTGACCAACCCAGATTGGATCCTGCAACATTATCCTGGGACACATATATTCGCCCTCATTCATGATACTTCTCCTTGTTCAGGGCCATTATAACTCCGAATGACTTTGAATGAATGGTCGAAAAGCAAGACCACCCATAATTTGAATGATTTTGCATTCTTTTCCAGACCTGACTTGCTGAAATCTGATGGCATATCCAACACTGAAGTGGCCCCTAGTGGCTCTCCTCTCTCAGGCAGTCCCAAAATGACAACAGTTAGTAGCAAAGGACGTTACCGTAGCAAACCACGCCACCGGCGAGGAAATAGCAAAGGCAGTTACAATGAGTTTACCGGCGTCTTGAAAAATCAGCCAGCACAGGATGACTTGGGCCAGCCAACTCACCATCATCACCACCCTCCCCATCATCACCTTCGACTTAATATACATGGACAAGATATAGCCAGTTGTGCTAACAACTTACGGTACTTTGGTCCTGCTGCTGCCCTACGCAGCCCTCTTAGTAATCATGCCCAACGGAGGATGTCTGGCTCTAGCCCTGATCTTATCTCTGCTGCTATGGAAGCCGATTCAAGGAGAAATCTGGAGGTAAAGAAAGATGGAGAGAATAAAGCTGATTATTGGGAATGCTGTCAAACAGATACATACAATCTCTGTCCACAGTGCAGACTGGGAACAAATGAGACAAATCAACAACAATCACTTGATCCAGGGCTGGAACAGCCTGAAGGACCATTGTATGACTCAGTGTATGCAAATTCGGAGTTTCCTGCAAAGAATAAAGAAGGTGAATTCAGCAGCCACAGGTCAGTGTCTCCTCTTGGCTCCTCTCATCTTGCAAGCACTCCAGGACTGCTGGGTAAAACTCGATCCATTCCGAAGGTGAGGCCTTCAGAATTCTTCAAAGAATTACCTTGTTTACTGTGTTCTGTTTTCTCAATCATGCTGTTTGCTTAATTACACGTTTCAAGGTATTATAGTTTATGTTGAATAGAATGAAATTTAAAGATTTGTCTTCCTGAAAATTGTACATTTATGAGGTACTTTTTAATTGGAATCTGCATATTTGTAATTATTTGGCAAATAACTATTCCTTTTGTTGCCCTACCAGAGTGGTGATGATTCTTCAGAAGAAGAAGGCGAAGTAGACAGTGAAGTGGAATTTCCACGGAGACAGAGGTAGAAAACCCAGTCTGACTATTTTACTAATTATTAATATCAATTCATTTAAGGAATTGTCATATGATTTAATTTCATTTCTGCGTAAAGAAACTTTTGAGTCTGACATTGTTAGCTAAGTTTTTCATCCAAAGAGTTACTTCTCCATCTGTTTTCTAGAAACATATAAGTATATAGGATAAAACAATATGGTCAAATATGTGTATTGTATTGGATTTAAGATATGTGGCAAGTAAGAGGCAGATACAACACCACTTGCTTCTTTTAGCAACAAATTGTTGCACATCACTATTGCATATCACAGGACTACACTTATTTCTCTGATAAGCACTGGAATATGATTAGTGGCGAATGGAAAGACATGAAAATAAAAAGTTTTCTCTATCAAAATAGTGAATACATTGATTTTTAGGTAGTGGATACTATTTGGGAAAACTAGACCAAAAAAGCAAATTTGTAAGAAAATACAACATGTTACATGATATAATTGTTTTTGTTTATTTGATGGATACATATTGGGAATGTGCATTCTTCATAAAGAGGAACATTAACTACATTTTTATGCTTAATAGTTGTGAAATTATATACAATACATATTTTAAGAGTGTCAAATTTGGCCTTTTTCTTGTTATTTGATTTGTATATACAGTGCATAAAAACAGTTGTGTGCAGCATTTGAATCAAAACGGACTAAAATGTTAATGGATTTGCAGGCCACATCGTTGCATCAGTAGTTGCCAGTCCTATTCAACCTTCAGTTCCGAGAACCTCTCTGTCTCTGATGGGGAAGAGGGCAATACCAGTGACCATTCCAACAGTCTGGATGAGCTGGCTAATAGACGGGAAGATTGTTTGGCTGAGAAGTTCGATGACATGCTGTCACAAACTCCAGAAATCTCCATTGAGATATCTACTCAGTCTGATGGACTTTC